GCAAATGTAACTGCTGTCCTAAGACGTTTGTGCACGAGTGTACGATCGATCTAACATTAGAGTAACGCACTTAGAGCAATTATTTTATGTCGAAATCGATATTGGTTATTCATAACTATGCTGGAATGTGATTGTATTTCATTATATAAGAGTATTGGAAAGGGAACGAATAAGATGGAAGTTAATTTGAATCGATTGATGTGAGTTATGTTAATTCCTTGGAAGGTGCGCTGTGCTAAATAACTTGTGCCGTACATAAAATAGGTTACACGATAGATAGTATAATGTATAATGATTAAATCTCTTAATACCGATGCCATGTAATATCGTACAACACTAATTAAGCATTTCTGTGTAGACTAATTTGTAGTCAAATGAAATAACAATTAGACATCGTAAATTAAAGCGAAATTGGAGTTTCCTTTAATATGAAGATACGATTCAAAGCACAAGCTTCTTATACACTTCCAACATATAATTTTATTCAAAAGACTGTTCTTATATACATAGATATTACGTAAGAAAGATAAAATGTTCCTGAAAATAATTAATTCTATATATTTGCACAAATCTAAATAATCAGAAACATCATTATGTTCGAAATAAAGCACGTGGTCCAATTACCATTAATTTCTCCCGTGTATCATTTAAAAATAGCACACAACCATTTAAAGACCATTACAAAAGTTCTAAACGGAATAAGCTTTACGAAAAGTTTCAGTATATTTTCCTACCGGCAATCTCCTAATTTAGAGAAATCGCGGAAAGTAGCATTTCGTATAGTAGTTTTCACCGGAATTTCATTTCGAGGAAGTTAATGCCCGAGACGAAGAAACTTCTAACGCCTGATTCTAACAAGCGCGACGGTCGCTCGTCGGGTAATAGAACCGCAATCGCGCGAGTAAATTGAGTCACGTAGAGGATAAGAGAGAACTAGTATTATATGGAGTCGATAGCGTGACGCGGTAATGAAGTGTCTCCTTTTTCCGATATACCCTGCCTTCGAAAATTTTAACCTCTTCGAGGCCAATATCTCGGTTCCCCCTGGAGCTCATACCGCGCGCCGCGCCGCAACGATAGTCGAATGTCATTGCTGCAATCAATTCGTATCGTTTTACAGCATACAATCTCGATACCGCAAAAAGGAAAGTCGACCTTTTCGTACGAGTGACCGTACTCTCGAGGAATTTTTCTGCACGCGCGAATGCATCCAACCGATTCGAAAGCGAATTTATCGTCCCCGTTTTGCTCACTTCTTAAGATTTAATTTCAAGATTTAACAAATATACGTAACAGAATGATTTTTGTTTTCCACGTAGATTTATTTCTCAGACAAGGAATTATCCACACACGTGTTACAAGGATATGTAAATTATACAAAATGAAGAAAGTTACGTTATTTCTCGCTTAATGTAATGCTAATTATAAAACTTAATTGCTTTATTTTCATATCTAGCATGAAGAATATATTTGATCGACAGTGTGACTCATGAGTTTCTATTGCAAAAGTATTAATTTAAATTGAAGTTCATATGTTGCACGCTATCTAGATTATCCTGTTAGTCATAAAGAGATCTAATAACATTATAATACACGGTATGTCATTATAATGCAACTTTGGTTCCATTAAGACTAAACCGCGACACACTCATAACACAAGCACTTGTGCGTTGCTGTAGAACGTGCACGGCATTTGTTCCGAACAATAAGTTGAACAGCACTAAAAATCCGATCCGCGTGGTCCCTGCATTCCAATGAATCATCAAAGAGATTATATGCAAACGATGTTTAAAATAGTCGATGTTCAATGCACGGATCAAATTATAACAATTCAAAAGAATACAATGCTACTTTTAACCTGTTAACCGAGACATTTCTCAGAAATTTCTATAATCATGAAATTAAAAGTTAATACAGTATGTAAAGTCAAATCAATTTCAAATAGATCGATTTCAATTCTAATATGGATACGATATAAATATATCTATATAGTATAATTTTGTTATATAATATATCAAACTAATTCGTTTTGTTTTTTCTAGTTATGAGGATGATCAGATAATTTATTATTTCTATAAGGCACTATACTCTTACGCTATTGTGTGCGTAGTACGTATAAATTTATCGTCTTACCCTACTTTCTTATTCTACTATTCTTATTCTACTGATTGGCCAAACCATATACAAGCTTGGTATAAACACGAATTCAAGAACTCGTTGCGATAGTCTTTTTATCGTATAGCGTAGTAAAACTGTTGTAGTTACATATGTGCAATAAAATCTTGTAACATATATGTATTATAACACGCAACATTGGTTATTGATGACCGAGGAACTTTCCATTCAGGCTACTAATGTTACCTACATGTATAAAAAGAATAACGACGCGGATAGTCAGTGGTACTAGCTTGATGCGTGTAAAATGTCGTTTCCTTTTTATAAATGAAACTTCAATCATACGTAGTTCCTTGGGAACAATTTGTATATTTTTAGTCAAAATCATTTTTACGTGATTATGCGACGAGGGTATAGGTCAAAGTTGTACGAGGAGGGTGCGTAAGGAAACTCTGTTCCATTTTGTCCTCGCAACTTCGTATCAAAGGATTTGCCGCTTTATTCCAGAATTTACAGTCGAATTTTTAGCTTTCAACCGACGTATTTAAATTATCGATCAATCGTAATATCTTTATCTACGAGTAATTGGTACGAGATAAGTTAATTTATAAAAGAGGATGAAATTTCAATTTCTAGAACTTATCTCGTAATTATAAACTGCAGATTTGAATTGTTTTAGTTTTCTACGCCGTCTTTTTCTACCTTCGTTTCAACGTTTGTAATTTCCCCAAACCTCGAATCCTCAAACTTCGTACCAGGTCTAACAAATGTCTCGACAACCATCTGACAACTCACGTTTATAGAGTAGACAAGTAATTCGTGCTACAAATGGAGTGTTTCAAAATAAGTCGAAATCGCGCAATAACTTTTTGTTGTACGAAACTGCATTTTCCAGAACTGCCCAGTCTCTGTGCGCGACACTGCGCGACAGGTCGTATTTGCCACGAATATTCCCGTACCTATTAGTCGGTCCTTGCAACTTTGTATTTGTTCTATAATTAAAAAGTCTCTCACAGGTGTTCACGTGTCGAATTAAATTTGTGTAAAATGTTTGAAAAGGAATTTTATTTTACGACAAATTTCCTTTGCGGGAGCTTCATAGAGGGTACGTCGTAAAAAGTTCTGCGAAGGACTAAATAGAGTGCGGTCGGGGCTACTTTAGGAAATATTTAAAAGTTTGTAGTTAGTTGATCGATATGCCCATTTACTTTCTTTGAGAAAGTTCAGGATGCTTTATGAAGTGGAAGGCAACAGGGTAGTCTTAGGATCAACCTGGGTCTTCTCTTGATCGTTAGAGCGATCAAATCACTCTAGCAATAGGTGTCTATCAATTATATATGCCATATAGAGATAGATTCCTTGGTTTGAAAGATATGTCCGGTCTCAACTTTACCTATAAATTTGTCTTTCCTACGGTCCTTCCAGGATATTACAGCAATTATAATTTAAATAGGAATGTAAGAAGCAATTTTTATTTTCAACGTTTACTTACGATTTCAGATAATAGTAATAAAACTACTATGTTAGATGCACACGCACTGGATCGATCTCCAAGTTATTTCTCCTGAAAAATGAAACTTTGCGTCACATCCAAGATTACATGCATATAAAAAGAAATTTAGCCGCGATGAGAAGAATTTGGTGAACGTAATGTTAGCTGCGAACCATTAATGCCACGAACTTGAAGATTGGTGGGCTCAAGTTGGAACATCCAAACTCTTTACCCATCTAAAGAATCTTACCCTCCTCCAAAGTCTAAACAAAGCTTATAACTTGGGACTCCTTTGAGGAACAAACGATTCTTATAATCGAAGTTCCGATAGCACAATAGCACATCGATTCTCCCAATTCCTTTTCAATCGTCCTGAGACGTTGTCAGTGTAAACATGTTTGCTTGGCTGGTGACGGTGTTGGAACGTCGCGACGTGAAATACATTGGGTCACGTTCCTCCGCATAGAAGACATTGCGTCGAGTCGTGCAAAGTGTACTCGAGAACGGCGAGGAGCGGCCATTTTGGACGAAATACGCTGGCGTATTTCTCAGCGCGCCGTGGCTGGAACGCGGCTGTGAACGCGGCTGTGAACGCGGCTGTGTGCGCGGCTGTGTGCGCGCTTGTGTGCGCGCGAACGGTCGGTCGGTCTCTTCCACGGTCGTGTGGCCTCTTCCCAGCGGCCATTAAACCAACGGTTTCAAGTGCTTGGAGCACGTTCCGC